TAAAATTGCCATGCTTACTTGGTAGGACAATTAATTGGTCTCAATTGGTCCGAGATGTGACATGATAAAAGCCTGTTCTGAGTTAGATTGATGTTGACTGATGTAATTCTTTTATCAGAAAAATTGTCAGATTGATTATTGATTATTATGTCAGATCGAGCAGCATCTGCACCTCTTCCAATTAGGAAACGCTATGGAAAACACTGAGTAAAATAACAATCATATGAACTAGCCAATGTGCAAAGATGTGTGCCAGTGAAAAACTGAATTCCTTATCCAAAGCACCACAAAACAAGTCTAGACTTGTTGATTGATCTATTCTGATGGATTTATTTCCATTATGGGTACAAATGGCAATTCAGAATGAAGATTCATCTTCAGGTAGATGATGTGGGTTTCCCTGTCATTCTGTGAAGCAGATATATGTAAGCTTCATATAGATGTCAACATTTTTACTTAGACTCCCTGTAGGCCATTCTTGGCTTAAATGTGACACAGGTGCATGTTGCACCTGAGACTTGCAGCCAGGGGACAGATGGCAGAACAGCGTGGCTACAACATGTAGCTGTTGTCAGGGCAGGAACGGGCTCTAAGCTGGAGTTACTTGCACAAGAAAACTGCTTTGTCCTTCTTTCCCTTCCCTCCCCCCCTTCCACCGCCTGCACTGGTTTTCCTGTTCATTCGTTCTGCCCAGTGCCTTGCAGGTGAAGTTGCACAGGCTCAAATTGGCCAAGGTATCCTGTACATTCCTGTCTGTTTCCCTTGGGAATAAGACCTTTGGTAGTGTTCTGGAAGACGAGACAACCCTTGCTAGCTTTTGATATTAACAAGAGTTCATTTGTGGAAATAAACACCATCCTTAAGCTAGTTCTGCCTTGCATTTATGCCAGGTGTCTGCTATGACTGTGCTGAGACATTTACAAATGTGTTTTGGTTTGGAAGCTTGGGCTTTAACATTGCAGGACTCTGGCTTCCCCACCTGGTTCTACAGACTTTGTGGTCCATATTTTTGCTTTTCAGCATAACCAGCCCAATTACATTTAAATATTAATATAATTCAATTTTGGCAGCCTCTCATCATTTTCATGTTTCATTTGTCAACTGCCATTGTCAGTCACTGTAATGCCATGTATTGTAGCATTGTCCTTGCATTTAATTATTGCTGATGGCTGTAATATAATTTGGCACCAACAAATATGTCTGCCTGCCAGTAATTTGAGAAGAGAGAGTGATTTGGACTAGTGATAGAACTGTCTGCTTTCTGTCATCCGGGTTTCATTCCCTCCTGTACTTTAGTTGGGCACTCTTTCATGGCAAAGAAACGTTGACATATATATTCTATCAGTAACAGTACATATATTATGTCATAAAATGTATTTGTTTGTAGTGCAGGTACATCAAAAATGAAATCATGCCAATGCCAAAATAAATAAAAATTTGCTATGAGGACTTTCAAAATCAACAGTATGATGTGACAAAGACAAAGCTCAAGTAGAATGGCAGCTAGTTAGTTATCTCAAGCCAAAATTAAAATGCATTCAGGTTTTTAACTTTCTTTTTGTTGGATATAACTCAAGCAAAAAAAAAATATACCAGTGATATATATATATATGTGGAAGTCCTTATGTAGGAGATTTTTAACTGTGGCATTACAGAAGTTCTAATAGTTCTAATTTCAAGAATGCCAGAGATTTTGAAACATACTGATTTCTAATGTTCTGAAAAGCTGGTTAAATATTTCTGTTTCTGCTTAAAAGGCAATTTTTCAGCAGCACTGGAGAGAAGCAGGTGCCTATGTCTGATGGTGATAATGCAGATGATGACTTGTCAGGAAGGCATCAAAGTGCTTCACAGATACCTTGATATCAACAGATAGGAAAGAAGTTGTTTCAACAAGAAAAGGCAGGTGATCTTTATTATATTTTCAATAGGTTTATCAATTTTGTGCCTTGGCTTCCATTTTTGAAGTATTACACTGATTTGTACAGTGCTTTTAACAGTTGGGTCATGCATCTCTCAGCCCCCAGGCCCTCACCCCAAAACCCCTGTCTAGAAAGTACTTTGGGTTGGTGTTGACTGCTGGATTCAGCTCACAGTATGTGTAGGACATACAGTGTGTGCAAGCAGCCACTAGTGACTGAAGGTTTGGGGACCAAAGCTGAATTCTCCGCTGCTAGACTGTAACTTTTCTGAAAGCAGCTTCAGTAAGGGGATACCTTGAGACTATGCACATGGTTGGGTTTGAATGCTCCCTTTCTCATAACAAATGCATTGTTTTCTAGTCCTGCTAGAATAGGTCCCCCTTAAACTTAAAAATGCAAAAATGCTAGTGTGAATTGGTGACTAGTAAATAGAATTTTTTTAACCTCTTAGTTTTGATATTCATCAGGATAATAAAGGAGAAATGACCATGCATGGACATACTGCAGTAAGTTGGGACCAACAGAAAGATGTGACCAACATCACCACAAAAGACCCAGAAGCAAATTTCCTCCTTGCTTTAGAAATTTCAAGTTAAAATTGAAGCTTTTCTACCTGTCTTCAGGTCCTAAAGGGCTTTATGTGTAAAGAGCTTTATTAATCAGGGTTGAGAGATGACTGATAGCAGCAGGGGACATGGAACAGAGGGAGGGTAGGACTGTGGCTTCTGACAGAGTGGTGTTGATGGGAGGCACTGGCAGTTTCACCAGTGAGAGAGCTGGGTAGGCTGTGCCATGCTTCAGGGAACCAAGGAAATGGTGTCTGCTGGGTGAGGGATGCTGCAACCTGGCTTGGAGCACAGCACTGGCCTTTCTGAGGTTTCCCACTAGTTCAGTCCTTGCTGAGACACAGAGGCAAAGAAATGCAATGTTTTGATACTGTAGCAGACAGGAAGAGTGTTGCAGTTCCTTTTAAAATGCCTTAGGGCCCCACTGTTGCTGTGTGATGAAAGAGATGATTTAATATACTTTAGCTGCTGCCTGTAAACTGCTTGCTGTTTGTCACTGAAGCCAAATTGCCTCTCTTCTTGCCCTGCTTGCCCTCTCCTTTTTTAGTGCTTTTGCAGACTTAATTAGAAGTGTTGGCTGCAGAAGCACTAGTTGGGTGAATGGGTTTGCAAGGGATGTGTGTGCACTTGGTTCCTGGAAACAACAGAAAGGAAATTATTTTCTTTTGTTGTATGAATTTTCCCTCAAAGGAACACAGAGATGAAACTATCTGCAGTTATGTAAGATGCCTTTCAACCACAATTCTTAGTTTGTGCTTCCCACAGTAACTGGACGTAATTGTTGCATAGTCCTGTTCTTGCAGAACCAGAATTACTGGAGTTAAGAGCACTGAAAGAGTCTAAACTCTAATTGGAATTAATTCTGCTTTAAGGGAGTTCATGATCTTTTTAGGTTACTGTTTGAAACATACTATTTGTAGGAAAATGTTTGAACCACACATTTACTAGCAAGAAGATCAATATATAGTATGTTGCAACTGAATTGATTATCAGATGTAATGTTAAGACTTTGCAGTGGGATGGGGTTAACTACACTTCTGTTTTCTGAACAGATGCTTAGTTGTAGTATGCATAATTAACTAAGACAATGCAAATGTTTTTCAAAGTTTGCTGTGTGCATTTATCATTGTGTATGCAACAGAAAATGTCAAAAATTAACATAACCAATCAAGACAAATTGTGGAGTATTTTCTCAAATTGAAAAGCAAAGCAACCAGGAACTAGGTCCCTTGGTTTTTAAAGGGTAGTAGAGGGAATGGAAACAGCCTGCAAGGCTTACCATTTAGGTTTCACAAACACTGTGTGAAAAGAAGGAGCAGCATACATCTTATGCTGTGAGCAGCATCCACTCTGTTTTGTGTGAGAAAGAAGGCTCTGCAGAGGAACACTAAAGCCAGAGGTATGAGGGAAACCATGGTTATAAGGAATTAACAGCTCAGTCTGCCCATGGGAAAACACAAGTTGGCTGTTAACGGGATAGAAGAAAAATTTGGGGGTTTTGAATGTGTACTCAAAGAGGGAAGACACTATTTTGAGTATTTGCTGAGATTCATCTTGATTACCCTTGCAGCAGCTATTTCTGACAGAATATATTCGCACTGTAAAGTTTTGACACTGCTCCCAAGAGGAGTTTTCCTGCTCTATTGTCTTTTGTATAGATTTTTGGGTAAATGAAATACAAAGAAAGGTTAGGAGGTCACCACACAACACTGATGTGTTGGTGAGCAAGAAGAATTCCTGAGAACAGAGTCTCTTGGAACAGCAAGCACATTGCTTCGGCCTGAAGGTTGTGAGAGAACAAGAGAAATTAGTTCTCAAATACAGATATGGTATCCAGTTACTGTGACCTGGTATTACAGCTTTGCAGCTGAGGGCCCAGTTGTACCTCTGTATACTGACTTTGTACGGGTGATTCCAAATCACAAAGATGTGGTCGGTTCAGCTGGGCTTCTGTCCTGCTACAGCTGCATGAGCAAGCCCGCCCTTCCACACCACTGACCAAACTGCACATCAGGGGTGTGGACTTGGTTAGGAAACCCTGATAAATTAACAAGGGCATTCAGCTTTGCTACTGGACCAGAAAAGGGGCTTTACTCCATGCCTGCTGCTTTCTACAGGAATCACGGCAGGGCAGTGATGCTACCATTGTCTGAAAGGCACAAAGTTTAGTATGACCCAGCAAAAAGGATTGACAGCAGGGGTAAGCTGTTCCTTGAACTTTTTCCAACCATGGAGCATGGTTGCTTCCAACCAACTGCTTCCAAAGTGGAGCAGTGGCAGTTGCAGGAACCCCAACCAAAGCTATTCCAATCTGCCCCAGAACACCTACAGTGTGTTCAGCTTCTCAACATCAGCTGATTCACTCTGCTGGGCCAGCCTGCTTCTTGAGGCAGATGTGACCACAGCTAAAGGTTAGGTGACCAAACAGCACATTCAGCCAGCACAACAGAGGCTCTTAAAGTTACCTGCTTGGCAGGCTTACAGCTAGATTTCAGAGACACTGAATCTTGCCTACAGTTAATCAGTGTTCAGCTTTTATTTACAAGAGGTCGGAGATGCATGTATACAGCAAGATTTGCTGAACTCCTGAAGGATGTTCACAATTAGATGAGCAAAGCAGATGCAACAGCAGCATATAATGACTGAATAGCTTGGTGACTGGTGTAAAGATTCTGAAGTCACATATAGATTGGCAGCTTTGTAGACCCGGTCTGAGGAGAACATGTCAGTTATAGGAGAAGTGGTAGAGATCCTGTTTGACAGCCATGAGTAAGCCAGGAACTCCTCGGCTACCCCCAAGTCTTGAAGAAAACACCACACTAGGAATGGCATCTTTGGATGATGGGTGGGGAGAAGGGATGGTTCTAAGCAGATGAGTATCTTGGAGACTCCAGATTCGGGTGTAGCAATCCTGACCAACTGGGAGGAAAGCAAAATCCAGCATTACACAAAAGACTTTACATGGTTCTGCAAGATTATCACCACAGAAGCAGAAGGTCTATGGAGAAAACACTCTGAATATGTCTATGCCCACATGAGGCAAAGTGCTTATCCATACTTTACAAAACAAAAAATTTACATTGATTACTACAAGAGTGGGAAAAAATGTACGTTTCCTATTGGGTAATTAAAGGTACAGTAAATCAGCTTTTCCCTTTATCAAGCTCCTAAGCCAAAAAAAGGGAGAAAAATTCAGTCACATTAAAAATTCTTATTATACCACCACTTACTGATATATCCAAGGAAAGGAGGTCACCGTCTTTACAGTGACTTTATGAAGCTTGGTTACACTATAAAGGTTTTTTTTCATCTATTGCTACTTTTCCTGCCCCCACCCAAAATATAATAATATAATAAAAAATCTGAGTGTAACTGGGAGTATTCAAAATGAATCTGAGTGGTATAAACAGTTTACAAGGAGTCAGGCTCACATGCCAATGCTTCAGTTCATCACCACATTCTCTACTTAAGCACCAGCTAAAGATATGCAGTCTCTATATAAAGTTATCACCAAGTCTCCTTGGTGATAACTTGGTTTACATGTTGTTTCCCTGAATTTTGAAACCAAGTGTTTGTTTTCTGCTCTACTTTTGAGACATATTGTGGACACACATAGATTAAGCTGTTGAGCACCTCACAGGATTGGTTACAGTAGGTATGCATCCATAACATAATTTTCATAGTATATTACAGTAGTATGTTTAAGGCTCAATTTTTTCTGAATTTCAAAGAATTAACAGATTTACAGCTTCTAACAGCTGTACCTAAGAAACACCCCTCAGGCTTAAGAAAATCACTACCATACACTATAAAAATAGGGGGGGGGAAAAGTCAACCTACCTGCTATAAGGAGTCCTTCCTCCTCATTGACATGCAAAGGGAGAAGAGCATATTCATTGTGGTGACCTTTGTACTGTTTCACACACTTCGCTGCTCTCAGGTCCCACAGTTTTATCTGCAAGTTGAAGAAATTGTTTGAGAGAGGATATATTAAAGCAGAGAGCACCCAAAGGTTGGATGTGTTGGAGCATGCCCAGAGGAGGGCCATGAAGATGACTGGAGGGCTAGAGGACCTCTCCTGTGGAGACAGGCTGAGAGAATTCAGCCTGCAAAAGCAGCCTTCTCCTGAAGGAGGCTACAAGAGAGCCAGAGAGGGTCAACTTATAAAGGTATGTAGTGATAGGACAAAAGGGGGAATGGTTTTAAACTGAGAAGGGTCTGTTCAGATTAAATATTAGGAAGCTCTTTAATGTGAAGGTGGTGAGTGACTAAAACAAGTTGCCCAGAGAAGTTGTGGATGCCCCATCCCTGGAAATGTTCAAGGCCAGGTTGGATGAAGGTCTAACGGAAGGTGTCCCTGCCTATGACAAGGGGCTGGAACCAGATGATATTTAAGCTTCCATCCAACCCAAACCATTCTGTGACAAATAATGGGCTCTGGAAGAAGACCCATAAATGGAACTACCACCCAGTTCCATACTGCATTCTAAGAGTAGACATCTGTCCTTGGGACTGGGATAAGTACCTGTAAATTCCCAGATACTGAAAGGTACAGAATATTCAAAACACAACAAAAGCATACCTTTCCAGCCATATCTGCTGCCATCAGATAATGTTCAGCCTCCATAAGGTGAATAGATGTAACTGCTGAGCCATGGAAGAGACGAATTGCTTTCCAGCTCTGCCCCTTGCGGTTACGTTGGCGCACGTCAATGCTGAAAATCTCACCCGAACGGCAGCCATTGTACAGCACTGGGGTCTGGGAGAATCCCAGAGAAAGGAGCATACTGTGTTACATCTGCCAGGGTCTTACAAGTTACATAGACAGAGCCTCTGTCATGCTTTTGAGCTCTACAGTCTAGTTGTCAAGTTATTTTAACAGATGCATTAAGAAGCAGAATTTTAATTACACACTGCAGCATTTTTCAGCAAATTCATTAAGCTCCATTCAAACCTCAGCTATTTACTTTAGTTGTAAAGGTTTCCCTAGGTAAGCAGGAACTCAATCTAACATAATAGCAAAACAGAAACTGGAATTCTCATATATTCCTCATATTTTATCATCCTAATTCTTTGTGAACAAGTCCATTAATATTTTATAGCGACTTTCTCTTTCTTGATGGAGGCAATACACTGAGTGTTACTAGAATGAGGCTATTTGCCAAAACCAAAACAATTTTACATGTTATTACTGTGCTCTTTGTATTTCCTTGTCTTTTAACCTCTGTAATCTTAACAAAAATTGCCCCTGTTGCCACAGTTTGAAATCAGATAATATTTTTGTTGCTATTCAATTGTGTGCGAGCATCAGATGCCATCAGCTCTGCTGTGGAACAGCCACCTAACAGCAGCTGTCATCACAACCTTATGTACAGCATGAGGAATCCTGCCCCAAACAGAATAAAGAGCCCACCAATGAGGAAGTGCTCTGAAAAAATGGTGTCTGGTTCTCCCTACCTGCGTGGCAAACTGCTGTGCCAGCACATCACTACTGGTTCCAAATGTCTGACGATGCCCTGTCACTACATTGGTCACAAGAACTCGTCGTGTCAGGCCTAAGGAAGACAGATGATATTAGTTTGGCTGTAATTTGTGTAGCAGCTGGGAGATGAATGGAAGAAGTCTTTCCTACTGAGACAGAGGGGGTTCTTTCCTACTGAGACAGAGGGGGTTGCTAGCCTTGCAGATAGATCACCTGTGCTAAAGCAGTTGTCTGCTTGGGGATTCAGGCACCAAGCGCAGGACCAGGCAGTGGATATCTTGAAACTGCACAGCATTCCAGGTCGATCTCCTAGAACACAGGAGCAACACATGAAGTGTTCATGAAATGTTAGGACAGGATGGTAACTCAGAAAGGTTCTTAGATTGCCACATTTCAGTCTGAAGCAGAGGAAGGGTTACCCAATTAGTCCTTTTGGTACTCAAGAGACAGGAAACAGAAATTGAAGTTCATGACTGTAAGGGACTCCTACAGTCTGTGTTAATAGATGATATTGAGAGACTGTGAAATTTATTCAGTAGTCAGAGGGCTCACCATGGCAGGAAAGAGAAAAGTAACACTTGCCTTACAGCACTGAGTAAGCCATTTTTAGAAGATGAGTGGGCTAGAAATACAAAACATTTACTTTATAAACTATGGATTAGCCACAGCCTAATCTGTACTATGCCCTGCTTATTTAAAAAAAATTATTAAGTAATAAGACCCTAGATTTGACTCTTACTCATGCAGCCCCTGCACAGAATTTATGCCAATTAGCAGACTACATCCTTAGTTTTCACTTCCTTCATGGCACGTCACACATACATCTGTCATGTAGCACAGGTGACATGGACAAGAATGGATGGATAACAGTTTTAGACAGGCTAAGTTCTACTTTTCCCCTGGCATCTACTCAGCAAGGCTCCCATAAACCACCTCTTTAGGAGAGTGAAGGAAATCAAATCTGGAAATACCTGAACAGTCAATAGGATATACTAGACAAGAAGACTTTGGTGGAACTTACAGCAGCTAATTATGGGGAAGGGCTTAAAATCTTTCACAGAGCAACTGGGTGTGCTGGCTTAGTAGCCATCCACCCTCAGTGACTCTTCATTCAAGTTCATGCTGACTCTATGCAAATTTATTTAATGGCTGCATATATAGTAAGACATTAAATTTTTAAAATCAGTCCATTACTCTTATCTATCACAGATTTCTTCTGTATAAATTTAACTGATCATGTTTGAATGGAAGCCAGATTAGAGCACTGCACTCTGTGACTTGAAGAAGCATGGTTCTAACATCTATCATCTATTAATTAAGTCCTGCCCCCAAGAACATTCAACAGAATAGATCAGCTACAGCCAGACTTAGGACGTGGTACTCTCCCAGTCAGTCAAGTTTCCATACAACTGGAGCTGGAGCTTGTACAAGGAGCTCTGGGCTGAGATATTTACCAGCTTTACACCTCTGATTTATGCACTGAGCATTCCTGAGCAGCTGCTATGGGAAGGGATTCTGCAGTGACTCTGGACATTCTATAAGGAAATGTGAGTATTTGCTGTGTGCAGCCTTTGCATATTAATTACAGGCCAAGCTTCTTGTGAAAAATCTCAAGTGTTTACTTTACAAGTGAGTTGTTCTCCTGCCAAAGTCAAGTACTGCAGCAGCTAAAAACAAACTAGGGCTCTGAATACTGCTTGTTAATTCTCAAATTCTTTCATCATCATTTCACTTTTTAAGCTGTTTTAGTTTTATAGGAATACAACAGTCTCACCAACACCTGAAAAAGAATGCTAAAATAACCTTTCATTTGTGCTCTTTTCATATAATTGCTACCAAAACTTGGAGACAAAAATCCAACAGAAACACCCTACCTGGGTTAGTGCTGCTGAACAATGATGCTGGAAGCAGACTGGCACAGCCTGGTGTTTCTGCAATTCCCATGAGACACAGCTTGCTGAAGTGAGTTAAGGAAAACTGATTTCTCCGTGGAATAGAACAGGCTGCCTAATATTTATAAATGGGAAAAGCAAGATGCCCTGACACAGCTACAGCTCACAACACTTTTCCTTGAGACCTCTGATGTGCTTTACAGTTTACAACTAAGCTGTGACACTTCACTTCTTTCACAGGAATGAGCTAGAAAGAACCCAAATTCTTGCTTGTGTATTTTCACAACCAGAAAGATAAGACAATACTGTTGTATCTTACTAGTGATAGGAAAAATAAAAAATAAGCCTGGCCTATATAGATCATTCTCACTTTTTCATGTTGATGACACTGCATTAATATAGATCCATTTTTTATGGAGGTAAATTGGAAAAATGGGAGGCAAGGAAAATTCACTTTAGATTACCCTTAATATTTTATGAAGGCTATACTAGGTACAAATAGAACTTAAAAGCTGCATTTCAAGTTCAGTGGGGTAAATCTGTAACTCAACTAGGGGAACACACAAACCCACCAAACCAAGTGATCCTGAACACATCCCCAGCTGTGTGCACACCTGTGAGCTCCTGCCCCTGATAGGCTGGTCTAGAGTTGCCTGGCTTTTCACACAGGCCATTCCATACTTTTCTGTGTAATTTCTTTTGGCACTTTATAACACACCTGTTGTCTGCCATCTCCTATGTCAGAATTCAGTTTTTTTCCCCTACTCTTCTGGGCTCTGCACTGTTCATTACTGCTTCCTCTACTGTATCTATCTGACTCTTCAAGTCAGACCTGCAGAACATGCTCTGAAACTTGCAGGTGATGCTACTGAATTGCTCCCATTCTCCTCTCACCCCTACCAGTACAGGGATGGTTTTAAACACAAATGAACCATCCCACTTTCAAAAAGGTTCTCTTCAGAAAAAAGTTGTTGCCTTTACCCTCTGCTCCTGTTCTTTTGCCTCAGCCAATTTCCAAACATCAGATCATTTTGGATATGGCATTTATATACACTGTTAATGAAGTGGGAATTCTCCATGGCAGAAAACATGGTCTTTCATTTACCATTAACATGGGAACAATTCTACATTTATCTGTAACAGAACCATACATCTGCCTCAGAAATTCCAACATATTTCGATTTTCTTTACTTCTGCTGTTTTCCAGAAAACTTATCTTCTGGGGGAACTACAGAAGAGGGATTACTTAAATTAGTTTTCCTGTGAAGCATGATGCAGACTTGTAAAACCTGAATGATAATTCTGATTATTTTTTTTTTAAAGGATATAAAACATGAGAATCTGGATGAGTCAGTGATGCCCAGCACACAGAGTTCACCTTCAGAGAGAAGAAGACATACTATTTTTGTGATCTGTAATTCAATTAAGGAAAGATTATTTCCATGCAAAAATGACATAAAATTAGGCACTGGGCACAGCTCCTCAGCCCACTAAATAACTCAGTATTGGGGCACAAGCATTTCAGCTTCATGCTCATAACAACAGAACAGCATTAAGAAGTCTGACCAAACACAGACTAAGGCACCAAGACATCTTATTCAAGAGACCATCCCTGAAAGAACCTGAACATGAAGAAATACTGAAAACCTGTTTTAAATACGCCTCATATTTAAAGGAGGATAAACACAGTTTAGGGGAAAACTTTAAGGATAAACACAGTTTCCCAAAATTATTTTTAAGAAAGAAGCATGCAAATCTTGGTAGTTTTGACAGTCAAACTTCCGTTTTGCTAGCTACAGCTGAGGTCTAAAGTAATCACTATCCTTGGAAGCTGGTACTTCTGTGTAGTCCTCCATTCCAGTGTAGTGTAACATTGCTGACAACTATTACTGGTACTGAGCGCTTTCAGGTTTACTGTGGTTCTGCATTTACCCAAGTTTCACATCTCTAGATTCTTCCATTCTCTTCTCCTAGCCCCTTCCCCAACCCTCATGGCACTTCCACCTGAGCCTCCCAAGAACAGTGTTCTGAGAAAGCAACCACCAAAGGAAGGAGGAACAGAAAGCAGTACTTTGCGGTTTGTGAAGTAGAGGTTGTCATACATCTCCACAGTGAGAGACTCCTTCCCCAAACCGCTGAGATTGATGATACCATATTTACATCCTCCATGCTCTACATCGTTCACTGTGAATATTCGTTCACAAGCAACATCTGCCTGTAAAATAAAAGCTTACCAGTCACACTCAGTGGAAACTTACAGGAAAAACAGCCTGAGGAGTTGCATTAAGTCTAAAATGAAACAACACATTAATTCCGATCCCTTTAAAACCATCTGCTTTCCATTCACCTCTAAAATCAATGGCCAACTCCTTTTAAATGCATGCAGAGAAAAAATGGAGATAAGAAAAGAATTCAGTCCTTGGCTTACAATAAATGATCTTTCCAATGTTAACAATTCTATACACTTACACTGTTTCTGAGTCCCTTCTGGCTTCAGCTATCTATGCAGTGCTTTGTTTACAAGGCCAGGAGCTGGTCCTGGAGAGCTTCCTATATAGTCTATGAAAGATCATGAAATGTAAAGTGATTACTGATGTTTACTTAGATTCTCTGAACCACAGGCTTTGCCACTCCCAAAATTCTCCTCCTTCATTTTTTTCCTTCTTCTTCTTGATCCTCTCCACCCTTCCTCCCAGCCCCACAATAATGATCCACTCAACTCCTACTTACTTCCAAAAGAACATGTTGATCAGATTAAAAAAAACAGAAAACAACAAACAAAAAATGCTTTCATATCCAACCTTTTTTATAATTTTCCTTTGTAGGAAAGGAACAGCCTCTCCCTACCTGTTAAAAGTTACTGAGCATAGATTTTAAGAACTGACAGAGAAGGAATAACATATCTTTAAAAGCTACATTTGACCTGTCTGATTTGATTACAAGAGCCTGAATTTTCACTGAAGACAGGCTCTCTTTATCTTAAAGACTTATAATTTCTCATACATACCACAATGATTTTAAAATTGTTGGTTCCAGCAACTGAGGAATCCGGACTGTGAATTTCTATCTTCCTCCTCTGCATGCAGTTCACTTTTAGTTCATGGACTAGCCTGCAAAAGCAGGTAGGAGAGTGAGGGGGTTGAAGAGAGGAAAATTCAGGTAAGCCTAAATTTAATGCATATGAAAAGAATTCTGGCCAGGATATAGAATGCTTCTCAATCACTGAAGAGAAAATGCCTGAATAACTAGCATGCTGAAATTTAACTTGTATAACCTATGAACATGTGCATCTTCCCCATGCATGGAATTTCATCCCATTATTTTGAACCCCAGCACATCTTTAGTTTAGAACAGCAAGTCACTAACTTAACTTGCCTTCTGCTGTCCTGATGGGGCGCAAAGGAACGGTCATGGCTGTTGAAAGGACTTATCCTAAAAAAGCTGTGCTATACTAATAAAGTACAATGTGACAAAACAGCCTTTCAATATACATACATAAAATGAACTTCTTTTGAAGTAAAATTGGGAAACAACTTCCTCATTTGAATTCTCATCATTTTAGTAATCTGATTATTACAGAATATAACCTTTTACCCGACTTTAAGTAATATGTTCCTCCTCATCCCAATGAAACAGTAAGAAATGCAAAAAAACCTGACAGAAACAGTTGCACTAACAGCAGAACTTGGCACTGCAAACAGAAGACAAATCAAATCACTGTACCTGCAATAACTTGTGGGGCTGAGGGAACCCAGCTGCCTTTTCTGTAACAGCACAGACGAGTTCAGTCCAGCCCTTGTTGTTTTCTGGAAAAGAGTAACATGGAACTGTACTCAGTTACTTACTTGTTTAAGATTCAAAAACGGCTGTGGGTCTTTGATGTTTGGGATGTTTAGGGAACTTTTTCTTCTAGCCTACACACATTAAAATTTTCAGAACATATAAAACACATTTCAGCACCATCTCCCTGATCTACTACGGTAAATAGACAAGAATATACTCCTGTGAGATGTGGCGTGCTTCTGTAAATACAGAACCTGGAGAAAAAATATGAAACCCCAACAGCCATTGTCTTCACTCTACATAATCAGCAGTACCACCTGGAGGTGTAAAATCACTTTCTGGTTCCATGACAACACCTCAAATTCTTCTTATACGACAAAATCTTTTATCACAATGAGACTGATATTAAACATGCAGTCTTACTGTTGTACTAAACTGCTTTTCCATTCCATTTCCATTCCCCCCACTGGCACTAGATGATCTTTAAGGTCCTTTGCAACCCAAGTCATTCTGTGACTCCATTCCATGATTTACCAACCCTTTAGAATTTAATGCCAACACCTTCTGAGGAGACCAAGGGATAGAGTATTTAGCAGAATTACGGAGTAAGAAATCTTTTTGGTAATGGTCAGACAAAACAAGTGTTTGAGAGTCAAAATGTTCTTTACACTGAAGACCTAGTTGGAGAACTTCATTGCTTAAGAGAAAGAACACTGTTCACTTCTTCCAAATAATAGCATATAAGCTGAGCTGTTATTTGTAAAGTTATAAGACATGTTTTTCAAGTAATGAAAAAGCATCCTTGTTAGATATTTTACCCACATTACAAACAGCAGCATCAGCATTAATTTCACTGTGACACTTTATATAGAAAAGCACACAGGCTTTCCAGACATAAACATAAGATCTGCCTTGATTTTAACTGTCTAAAAAAGTTCTTCAAGAAAAAGCTTTCCACCAACTATGATTAGTATTGTTTCTTCAAGGTCCAGGAATATCATAAATAAATTTATTTAAAATGCAAAAAACTTTAAATCAAAACCCCGCTTTGCCAATTCAAGGCAGGAACTTGAAACCTGGCATCCAATACCCTGACTCAAGTGTAACTGTTGGACAACTGCAATTCCAAGCACAGTTCCTTTGTCTTTATAGATTTTTTTGTTTGTAATGACCTGACTTCATTGCTTTGTGGAAGAGCCAAACAAAAGGTTTCAAGGACTTCATTCTTAGCAGAAAAAGAAATTGAATTGTCTGAACTTGAAGACTTTCATTTATAATCTGTCCTGGGCCAGAGTACAATAAAGCCTAATTGCAATCTTCTTCAAAACATACCTGATGCTGTTTTTCTTCCTCTTCTAAGAGTCTCAGTCTTTTGCACTCCATTGCCTTGTGCTGAATGCTGTCCTTGGTGAGTGGGTTGTGGTTATTATGCCCAGGCAGTAGGCGAAAATAGCGGTTCTTTTCTGGGTCATAATAAAATCCTGGCAGTTCTTCAGTGGGGGAGACACGGGGGAGAAAAAGTGGCAAAAATCAGATGGATAAGTAAGTTTGTTTATTGCTCTTTGATATTCCATGTCTTCATGTCAATGTGAGAGTTGTGAGACCCAAAGCTCTAGCTCCCAGCACATCCCAAGCATAATACACATAGCAAATTACAGGAGAAAAAACGAGGTTATTTGTAGTGTTCAAATGCACTGCTTTTACACAGCTACAGAAGGCACGTCACCATTGACCAAGAGGAAATTCAGACCAATCAGAACAGCACAAAAGAAAGGTTTTGTGGCAGAACAAAAATGGTCTTCATAAATAAATCACAAGGGGATTCTTAGTTAAATTCTTAGTTAAAAGACTTGGAAGGACAGCAAAAAAAATGACAATGAGGTATCAAATAAACTCAAATAAAGTGATTCACTTCCCAGAAAAAGACACTTTTTCTTCAGCACAAAGGAGAGATTTAGATAAAATCAAGAGTACATTTAGCTACTTCCAAAGATAAATTGGGACGAGAAACACTCAATTTTAGTACTTCACTGTCTGTGTGAATGCAGAGGCAGACAAGTAAAATACTATGACATTTAAAATACTTTCACAGATTGTCTCAAGACAAAGAAATTTATTCAGAGGCAATTGTTAACATTTCATTTCAAGAGTTTTTATTTAAAACTTTATTTGCTACCAGAAATTTCATTCTAAGTATCCTCTTTTTGCAGCTGCTTGCCATTCAGCTCCTTGTCTGCATCTTTTAGGTTTCAGATTAGCTACAACTGACCAAGACTTTTTCAGGTCAGTGAAAATAAGAAGTTAGTCAATGAATCAGTAAAGTTTATAAAAGCACACTACATTTAGTAGTTACACAGTAACTACACAGGAATAAATGTCTTGCAGGATGCATCTCCTAGCATGTTCACAACACAAAACAGTGATATACAAAAACCATCTTTTTAAACTCAAGTGTTGTTCCAGCACTCTCCTGATGTACAGAAATGTAAGTTCACACTGGCTTAGTTTTTGCTAGCATTGTTTAATGAGTCAGGAAACCAGAATGTAAACAGGACATCTTTCTCAACAGCGCTGCTACTTCATCTTTTGTTGTAAATGAACAAGTATTTAGCCAGAGTCTATTTATTACACACTACAAAATAAACTGAAGGTGTAAAGAGACACACCACACAAGAGACATCCCACAAAGTGGTGGACTGTTGTGCCTTTCAAAAGACTGAGTAACTGAACACAATCTATAATTTTTTATATACTCTCTTATTTCATTTGCTTCCTTAGTAGTTCATTTTCTTCCTAAAGTAGCATTTCTGGAGGGAAAAAAAATGCATTTTTTCAGTTTATATCAGCTTGACTAAGCATGCAAGTTTTCAAAAATGAGAAGCACTCGTGGGCCTGAAAGTGATTTGGCTCTGTTCTCCAGATCCTTACTTAGTACATCTTTTTGTATCACTTGATGTTACTCTTCTCCACAAACTTTACTGTTTGTATGGTTCCTGTCACACCAGATTATTAATGCAGCTACTACTACTTTTTTCATACAATCAGCAGATATGAACTGACTTTTGACCTATAAACACCATCTCTTACCTGGTGCTACAGAGTTCTGTGTTGAACTGGATGAAGAAGGATCCTCATTGCTGCTGGGACCTGCATTCACAGGGGTCTGTGGCTCTTCTTGTTCTAGACTAAAAAAATAGCATTGCTTTCAAGACAGGCTCACAATTGCTCGACACATCTTTCCCATAAAGAGACTAGAAAACAGATTGTTACTGACATCAATGGAGTACCACTATGCAGTGCTCTGACAGCATTTTCTCCATATCACCATATATTAAACGATGAAAATAAAACAGTGAAAAAATATTCAGCTTAAAAATTTTTCAAGAACATTACTGATAACAGCCTTATATTACTTGCTAATACATTAGAGGTTGCTGTTGATTCTGCAAGTGCCTCTAACTTTTTTTTTAGCAAAAGATTAACTGGGCGATTGTACATTAAACAAACAGCCCACTCCTGAAAGCATGAAAGTCTTCACAGCACTAAACGAGAGACAGTGTAGGTAAAACACTGATGTCAGGTCAGGTTTTGCCATTCTCTCCACAAGAAGAATTTCACTGATGAGGTTTAGAAACATGCAAAATAAACAAAAATTTAATGAAAATTCCAAGAAAAGCCTCTGCTTTTATAATAAACATTACATGGGGTAACTGCAGCTTTCCTCTTTTTGAACTAATATACATGAGCATATTCAGTACTCATGAGCAAATTTCCACTAGGATGTTTTCTGAATCACCTGTAAAATTCTCACTTTTTAAGACAGGTCTTATTACATGTCATCTTAAAAGCAGTAGGTGAAGCTGTTTTGCAAGAGCCAGAATTTATTGAAAAGAAAATGACAAAGAAACTCTATTTCTAATACCAGCTCTACTGCGGTTTGATTATACAACTCTGAAAACAGTTAAAGGACACAACAGGTACACCAGGGAAAACCACCCCAGATCACACCCAAGCACTTCACTTTAAAGCTCTGGAAGAAAACTCTTCTAATTCTGCTCACTGAAACAGTATCCATTTACATTCTAACACAAGTTTTCTTGCACAAGTACAATTAGTGTGGCAACTCATAAGTGTGTCTCTTTTCCTAAAAACAGTTTTGTTTTTTTTTTAAAAAGCTTAGTATATTAAAGCAAAGCATTAGCCTCTTTTAGTCCTGCAAGAGGCACTAACAGGGGAATGAAAAAGCAACCATAAAAACAGCTCAAATATAGGCAAGTGTAGGTTATAAAATATAAAACATGTTTTCTGAAAGGATCAGTTTTCAAGGCAGGGATTATTCCTGAGACCTTGTTTTATTTTCATCATCTGTTAGATGTGACATTACCACATTACTTACCATGCTTTCAAACATTCAGGAAGATCCTTCAATGACAGATTTTACACCACACTCAAGCTTAGAATAAACAGGCAGGTAGAATTAAGTAATTATATTTTTCTTCCCTGAACTATCTTTGCATATTGATGAAGGGTTTATGGATAATGCATAGCTGAAAGGACTGGCTCATGGAACTGCATCTCAGTTTAAAAAAATCAGTGTACAGTTGTCAACACACAATAAACTTCCAGAAATCAGCACAATTCCACTCCCAGTAGGGATGACAGATATACCGCAAGTACCGTCTACTAGATCTTCAGGTGGCAACCCTCTCGGTTCTAGAAAGTCACCATTCTGCACATTCAATTAGGCATAAAGCCATCGGCTCAGCCCACTGAAGCACAAGCTGCCTGTACTTGCCTTTGGGCGCGGTTGTTGTGACCGGCTCTCCAGTGCCGGTGGGGCTGGTGGCTTCGCTTGTGACTGCTCCACCCACGCCTCTCCTTGCCTCGGCGGTAGTTCCTCCGCATTTCTCCTCTTAAAGCAAACATGCACACATATCTCAGCCCTGCTTGCCTGGAACGGCGCAGCACTCAAGACAAGTCTCTTAATGCGGCCTCTTTTCGAACAGTTTCAACCTGTAACGACCAGGCCGGCCGACAGCCCGCAGCACCGACGGTCTCCTACGCCTGTCGACTTCCCCACTAGTCCCGGACCGGCTCCGCAGCTCACCCCGCAGCGCTGAAGCCGAAACCCCAGAGGCAGAAGGTCAATGATGACCGAGCGTGACCGAGCGTTCCCCACCGCCCCCCTGGGCCCGCCCGTCCCTCACCGCGCCGGGCCCACGCCGGCCCCGCCGCGTCCGCGCTGCCTCCAGCGCCCCGCCCACGCCCCCAGGGATGCCCCTCATTGGCGCTCAGCCGCGCCCGCCACTTGACGGACAGCTCCCCCGTCCAACCGCAGGAGGTCTGGCCGGCGCGTGCGCGGCGCGGGGGCGTGGCCGGGCTGAGGGCGGGTGGATGGCGCGGGGTGCTGCGCTGAGGGCATGGAGGGTGTGGGCTGGAAGGGGAGCTTAGCTCGGCAGGGACGAACGCGGGGTGGATGAGGTCGCTTAGCACGGTAGGGAAGCAACGTAGGGCAGAGATAGCCTGGGGTTTGCTGGGAGATGGCGTGCTTTGAGGGGACACCGAGAGGGTATCTCTCCCTCTCCTCTCCTCTCCTCTCATGTTGCTGGCTCCCTCAAAGCCATCATTTGGCTGTGGGCCGGTAGAGGCTGTTACAACCGCTCTGAATTTATCAAGAATTCAGAAGCGATAACGTCTTGAAAGTGACTCTCCCGGCTGAGGCCCCTTGGTGCTTAATTTTTTTTCTTATTTTGAGCCTTCTGGTGGTGGGCAGTGTTGAGGTACAAGGTGGGCGGAAGAGCTCGGGCTGCAGCGGTCGGTACCAGCTGCGAGCACAGCAGGGTGTGTGTGAGCACCGTCCCCTGGCAGCCAGAGCAATGAACCCCTTCTCTTGTTAATCATTTGTTAAAGGTGTCCTTAAGCAGGTTTTGCATAGCATTCCTCTTCCTGCTTGTTTAGCATCTAGGACTTTAAAGAAAGTCGTAACCAGAGTTGTAAGAGAGTTTGTTAACTTAATGAATTATTAAGGTTAAAACAAACAAACAAAAGCTATACTTAAAATAATTGTGGAAAAATAATAGTTTAGCCTTTTTGCTTTCAAAAAGATGTGAGGGTTTGTTGGTTGCTTTAATAACTGAAATAAAAATGCCAGTACTGGGGAAATAGGCAATGGGGTTTTGCTACTTTTGGTGTTTAGACTTTGCACAAATTTGCTGTCTTACTTGGCAGGAGAGTAATTTTTGGGAGATAGGATTTTTTGTTTCTCGCTCACATGATCTGTATTTTAAGTTCAAAATGCATAGAGTTAAATAGTCTTGGAAAGTATTCACTTAAGGATAGAAACAGCTGAAAAAATCACTTGTGGCTTGCATATACAGTTTGTGAGCTTTATTTCTTTATAAGTCAGAGCACCAACACGGTCTAATTCTAAGGCATGTTTTGTTGGTTAGGTCTGTTTCTCATAGTGGTTTCCTGATAGTGATCTTTAGCTTTCACAGGATAATTTTGAATTTTAATACAGTAACAGGAGAAAAGTGTGTACAAAAAGTCAGCTGTTGCTGAAACTATCGCTGCTGTTGACTGGATACAAAATGATGGTTTATATGGTGTTGGTACTTGATCAAATGCAAATTTGATGCTGGTGCATCCATCCACAGGTTTCTAGGGAGTGGTTTCTTCAAGGTATTTCCTGGATGGTGGGAAACAGTCCAGAATGTCTAATGTGTTGCAAGTACTGTTATACTCTGCTTTGTTCATTAGCTTTGTTTCATCTGTTCAATTTCTGGTGCCCAGTGAGCAATATTCAAGGTTCTGTGACCAATATATGCTATTTATAAACTGAGGGATTCCTGTGACTGAAATAGTTACCATTGAGGAAGAAGTGTATTAAATGATTTGTTTTCTCATTTGTATTGCAGGTACTTACTATGAAAGTTAATAGTCTGGAAGATATTTCAGAGATCACTGGTTTTCCATATATGCATTGAAATAAAATATACAAGTAAAATGCACACATTCACCCACACATTGTTCCTTAGCAATAGTTTGTCTAACCTCTTCTTAAAGGCTTTTAGTTTGGTTTATTCTGATTATTTTATTTTAGTATTTATTATTTAATCTCACAGAAAGGTTTCCTGATGATTAAAAACATCACTGCTATTCCTTCTTCCTTCTGTAGATATAGAAAACAGTTTGTTACCTTGCTCTCTGCCACTGTATTCCATATTTGAAATGTGAAAAATATGTCCTTTTTGAAAAATTTTCTATAGATTGAAGACTGCCTCAGGAATACCATTCCACTAGGATATGATAGGTGGCAACCTTTAGCTTTGATAATTCTTGTTTCCTTTTTTGGACCCCTTTGATGGAGAACAGATCTTTCCTTGAGGCATGTTCCTAAAAGCTGGATATACCACTCCTCAGCTGAGGGCTTCCCATGCAGAGTCTGTTTTGCAGGCTGCTCTCAGGTTGGAGCTGTAGGATGTCCTACAGCTGTGCAGCAGTGCCAGCTTGCAGGAGGCTTATGGCCAGAAGTGTGAGCAGTTTGAGAGCTGCTTTGTGATCTGTTGTTTGCACTCTGCCTTTGTGCAATTGCTGTGCTCTTGCTGGGAACAATTTAATGCTGCTCATCTCAGGCTGGTTCGTGAACTGGCCCAGGCCATCCTGCCCTAGGAATGCACTCTGCCACTGTGTTCGCCTTGGCTGATTTTCTGCTTCCTTGATCTGAGGGACTGGGTTTATACTCCTGTAGTTGATTAAATCCATATGTTCAGATTGTGCTTTTTGAGTTGATTGAAATGTATTTGTAAATTATGTTCAAACATTCGGTAAAGACCGAATTTTATCAATAACATTAGACTTTGAGGTTTGAATGTAGGTTTAGGATTATTACAGTTTAATGAGTTGCCTTTCAGATGAACTGCAGGGTGTGAGCCTGTGTTCATTCTTAGCAGTTGCATCTCAAAATTAAAATTAGCTTGTCTAAGCTCTTCTTTTGCTGAGGCTTAAGCTGTGTATTTTGTCTCATTATTTCTGGGAGTTAAACCTGTGTTCTGCCTGTAAAAGCTCAGCTTCTGTAAGACAGCTCATTAAACTTGGCTAAGTGGAAAGGGTACCTGGGCCCATGGATTACCCGGGGTTTATGCAGGGTAATCAAAACTAGGATTCTGCCTAATAGGAAAATTTGTGTTTGTTCTAATACTGTTGAAATCAAAGCAATTTAAGAGTCTGTGTAACTTTGTGCTTACTCTACATTATGAGCTGCAGCAGTTCTGCAATAATAGTGTCAAAGCTTCTGGGAAAGTTGCTGTTTGCTGTTTTATCTTAGCTTTCAGAATACCCTGTTGTCCCACAGGCTCTGCTGTTAATGCAGTAAATAACTTTTGGATTCTCTGGCATTAGGTCATAAAATCAGTTAGATTGGAAAAGACCTTTTGGATGATCAAGTCCCACCACTAACCGAACACTGCCCGGTCTGCCACTACACCACGTCCCCAAGTGCCATATCTTTATGTATTATAAATATCTCCAGGAATGATGACTCCACTGCTTTTGCAGCTTGTCCTAATGCTTGACAGTCCTTTTGGTGGATATTAGGAAAAAATTCTTCCATCTAAACAAAGGAACAAACTGCTGTAGAATTTAAGGAATTAAGGTGATGAATTATCACAATTCAGTTTGTATAAAGATCAGTAACTTCCTGTATTTATTCCGTATGTGTTTGTGTTTCACTTTTTTACTCTGTCTAGTTTAAATCTCGAGTTCCCAAAGCGGTCCTGATGGTCTTGGAGGTGCGGCTTCCCTTGAGCGTCTGCTGGGTGTTTTAAGGACGGGAGCGAATCGGATCTGACCCAGAAGAGGGCAGCAGTGCACTTGCACAAAACCACTGTCTTGGCTCTGTAAAGTCTTCTGTACCAAGCATTGAATCGATTTTAGGAGCAGAAATGCACCAATGAATCCCTTTGTAAAAGTGTATTCTAACCCCAAAGTCCAGGGACGCTGATGTTCCATGTTTCAGCCAGACTTTCCCTCTAAGTAAGAAGGTGAAGCTTATTTCTCCTGATACCAGCTTTTTCTACCCTGCAAATCAGAGGTCATAAAAGACATGCCCATGAGATATGTATCACCTCTTAGTATTTATATATATGTATGTCTTTTAGTTATAATATATATATATGTATAATATATAAAATATATAAGTGATGCACATTCAAATTTTGCTCTGACACTACATCTGAAGTCTCTTCCAGTCAAGTCTCTTTGAGAGTAAGACATGCTAGTCAGACCTTGCCTTCTTTTAAATGCTTTCCTTAATAGAAATGCTTAAACATAATTTACTGGATAGTCTGATAAGTAATTAATTACTCTTTTTCCTGTGGATCCAAAATAATAATTTGTATGAAGAACTTATCAGAAGTAAGTTGCATTTAAAAATGATTTATGGCACTGGTGGAGGGACTTTGTGACTTGTGATTATAATCAGAAGATGGACTGCAGAACATGCAGGCATGAGTGGGTGCCAACAGTGTACGTCGTTCTGGGTATGGGTAGCAGTGGGGCTGTGGCTGTGGTGTTATGGGTCTCTTCAGATGGGCTGGCACATTCCAAGGGATGCTTTCTGGTAAAACCCCTCTGAGACCTTCTGTTTGCCATGGTCTGCCCTCTTTTCTTTCAAAATAGCATACTGGCTTTTGAATGGCAGTGCTGGATACATGGGTAATCCTTTTGAACATTTTTGATGTTTTAACTGAATCTCTTAAGAATTATTTTATGTGCAGAATGAGCCATTAATTAACACTCTGAAATGTCTTTTGTGGGTTTTTTTTTACTTCTGTCATTTTTACTTGTGGGCCCAGTCTAAAAGACTATTAAATGTGTAATGATATTCACCTGTCCTGATGGTGGTGTAGGCTTATGAAAGTTGTGTGTGTATACACATAGATCAACATAGCTCTGTCTACAAAACTGGAACTTCATTACCACATATTTCAGTGTATGGGTGGGGAGAATGCTAATTTGAAGGCATGAGATTTGAAAGTGATGTTGAACACAAAGATGTCTGTGCTCTGCCATGTTTCCTATGATGCTACAGGTCTGACATGTCAGTTCAAAACAAAAACTGGCTCCTTTGTTAATTTTTTTTTATGGTAAAAAATCCTGCCTGCAGATGGTAAAGTGGTCCATCAAGCAGGTAGGAATGCTAACAAGGCTTACATTGCCAGAATGCTGAATTGGAATTTGCAGAGCCACCGTAGAGTAGAATATCCTGATGGTGAGGAAACCTGTGTTGAATAATGCTGTCCTGTCCCTTTTTAGGGGGAAAACTTGAGCTCTGCATTGGAAGGTCAAGTTCCTGGTGTAAGTAATGCTGTCTTTAGAGCAGTGGCAGCTGGCAGCTTTTTCATTTTTCCTCCAAACTCATTTGTTCAGCTTATGGGCCTCTAATACACCAAGTGCTTGCAGTTACAAGATTGATTTCTAGTCTTGTCTTTAAAACTTGCCAGGAAAAGAACTGGTCAGCATCTCCAAAAAAGTATTCTCTTTTGGGGTCAAAATCTTGTGTGCTGCTTCGTATTCTCCCTTGCCTGCTTTGGCTATTAAGGTTGTACTTTTGTACAGACAGAGGTGAACTGTTTTGCTTTTACACATCAATAGCAGATGTCAGGGCTCTGACAACTGATTTCCCATTGGAAGAAAAATTAGTGACACGGACCATAGGAATCATTTTTCTTAGCAGACTTCTCTATTAAATACATGAGGCTTTGAACAAATGTACAGACTGATGATATTGCAGGAAATAATCCTTCTCCAGAAACTTCAATCTGTAAGTCAGTGTTTTGCTTTCAGAAAGCAACTTTATCATTGAAGTTCCTACCAACTAAAGGCACAGTGTTACAGGGCTACTAACACCTCATTTCTCAAAGTCTGTGTTCTGCTCATGTACAGAGGAAAGCAAGTAATTGGAGAGACTTGTGTGCCAGGAGGCATTGTAACCACATGAGGGTGGTTCTCAGAAATGGACAGTAATGAACACTGTTTTGGAGTGTGGACTTCCTGAACTGTCTTGTCTGTATTGTGCTGTAGATATTCCTTTGTGAAAGTACTGTTTGAATGATGCAGGAGTGACTTCCTTAGTCTCCTCCCCACACACCTCATCTTTCAAGATGTGTGCTGGAATTTCTTGTTTCAAGTGTTTTTTGGGGTGGGTTTATTTTTGGTTTTTTTTTTCTTTTTTTAAAGGAAAGGGAATGAAAGTTTTATGAGGTAAGAATTTGTCTCTCATTCTCTTCTGAATTCTCTCTCAGGGAGAACATGGCAGGAGGAGGAGGAAGCTCAGCTCAGTGGATGCAGAGTGGGAGGCTTCCTATTACTGATGTGTAAAGTGGGGTGAGCAGGTTTCTTTTGAGGACTTTCAGGAGCATATCCTGAAGGAATAAGGGTGGGAGGAGGGAAGGTTACCGTGGGAAAGCAGTCTCCATGTATCTGCATTCTGTAGAGGGCATGTGTGGGTTCTTTGATTTCTTTGGTCATTGGGGAAGGGCTTGAAGGAAAGTTGAAGATTATCTGCAGATACCTGGTTTCATAATGATAATGTATATTGTCTACTCATGTCTTGCTTAATATTTATATGCCTATATTGCTATAATAACATACAGTAATATGCATTAAATGGTAATATACATTATATTGATTAATATAATTATGTATCGATTATGTAATATATAATGTAATACAATACAGTAATTTATATTACTATTTATATGTTCTGGATGCTTCCAGATGTATCATTGTGGCTCAGTCTTAAATTTTATTCTTAGACTGCTGTGCTTTTGATCATTCTAGTTCTATGTGTACCCTGATATTTAGGATGGATGGTGACATTTCCTTCCAGTCCACCGGAATGCCTCATTCCACTGGAATGTTTCATTGTTGGCTCCATAGATGCTCTGCTTCGTGGAGCCCTCCTAGCACCTGGTTTTCAAACTGCTGCACTTCTGGGCACTGAATAGAAGGCAGGAATAGTGAGCTGTGGTTGCATGTGACTGCCAGTATAGATAGCAGCCTGGAGATTTCAATGCATGTGCCTAGTGCAGAGGTCTGCCCATGGGAGTAGCACTGCAGGAGCTCCCATTAGTACAAACTAATACAATTACCTTTCTGCACAGTTTATACTCTGTCCTTTTTGTGTACCTGTGGAAAAATAATGAAATGAAAACATTTTAGACAAGACACACAACACTAAATGAAAACAATAGACTGTTTCTGGGAAGAAAGATAAATGACTAAATTAAAACAACACTGCAGATAGGGTAGTCATAGCACTGTTTTGTAAGTTTTTGTAAGATGTTTTGTAAGATGATCTTTGAAAGTCTGAGGACAACTGAAACTGCTTATGTGCTTTGTAGAACTGAAGCAATAATTATTTCACTTACAAGATGTAATATATCAGTTTGCAGTTCCAAAACACCTCATTTCTCAAATGCTATGTCTTGGTTTTACCAAGGCCAACTAACAAAACTTTAGCTCTCAGTTTGATTGGATGGAAATTGAAAGAGGAGGTAGGTTATAGAGGATGGTTTATGGACTTGGTTGAGCTATTGTTTCCCTGAGCAAAGCACTTTCTAACTGGGAGCAGGAAAGCTCTGAAGGTCCCAAGAGAAAAAAGAATAGGTAAATAACTGGCTGTAGGATCATATAAATTCTGTACTATAACCTTGTGGGAAATCAGGAAGGATGACAGAACTCTATACGAAATGGTTAAGAGCTTCCATGGCCTTTAAGAGACTACCAGGCCACAGGGTTTGATCTGTGTTAATTACCCACAAGATTTAATTGTGCGTGGCGTGTAGTTTTTGGTTTGCTGTGGTTTTTTATTTTTCTTTTTCTCTACCTAGATAAAATCTCAGTGTAAGTTGACTAATAGTGTTTACTTATTTTCTTTATAGAAAATGGCTGCTTTCCTAAGGCCAAGTGTGATTACATCAGCTGGTAGAGCATCCTCACTTTGAGTACTCAAACATATTTTGTCTTTGTTCAGAATGATGTTTCAGAACAGCTGCAAACAGCACTTCTGAAACAAATAGTTTCAGAAGTGTGGAAGAAAAGGAAAATACAGACTATCACTGAGTTGTGTGTAAGTTCGAAGTCTAGGGGAATTTCTAAGAAGTAACATAAAGGGTGAACCTTGTACATTGATAAATCAGTGAAATAAAATTGCTCCCATGTGTTCTGGATAAAACTAGAAGAGCAGATTAATGCCTTTGTACAGTGTTGCTAGTTTTGCATGTATACTGTGTGTCCAGTAGAGAAATATTTCTAACTTGAGGAGAGTATCCACTAAACATTTCTTTTGGAGGAATGCAGGTATTTAGTAACCTTTCTTACAGACAGTTGCATGCAGTCATGCAGTCACCAGCCCTGTGAAATGAGGGAGGATCATTTCAGAAGAAATTTTAAACATTATTTTGACATGTTTGTCTCGCTCTCAAAAAAAAAAAAAAAAAAAAGAAAGTAAAAGGAGATGAAAGAAATAAGTGAAAATAGTTGGATGGTCACCTGTATTTTGTTTTGGAATTCTTTTTGACCTACATAGCATAATTTTGTTGGATTGGGTTCTATTCAATCACTAAAGCAATGATTCTTGTTGTAATGGTTGGATATCCTTGATGTGGGAATAGACCATAACAGGTGGATAAAAAAGCTTATGTTGGGAAATAACTGGGCAGTTGTTCTTACTATTGGTTGTACAAACAGTACAATAATTATTCTGTCTTTTGAGCATTCTGGTTATCCTTCTTTGTGCCTTTTCTATCTCTAGCAAACTATACAAAGTATTGAGAAGTTAAGCACATTATAGATTCCTGTGTTGTGGCATGATGCCCAGAGTGTGTCATCTTTGACTTGTGGTTCAATAGTGAGCTGCTCTCAAATAATTCCTGGTTATATCCCAAGATCTCATTCTTGACTGGCAATAAGTAATTCAGAGGCTGAAGGTGTACATGCAGTGTTAGGACTTTTTAAAGTATGTCAATATGTCACCATTTTATCTGCCATTTAATGTCTTATGAGTCAGATTTTCATTTCCCTCTGCCTCTTCCCCTCATCTTCTGAAAATCTCCAAAACAAAAAAAAAAGGGAAAGATTACTCCTTCTGAGTTCAGTTATGTGGGAAGAACAAAGTTCAGTTCCAAAGTTTCTCTGCAGATTAATTGAACAAAGTCACTGAAACCCTGTGCCACCTTACAATGCCCTTTCAGTAGGTGGACTGAGGGGAGCTTGCTTTATGGGGGGGCTTAGTGAAAAATCCATTACTCCTAGGTTCCCAGTTCTAGTGATGAAATAACTTGGAATACACTAGAAATGTAATGTGACTGAAAGGAAATGGTTACAGGCTTTCTGAATTATTGCAAAATAGTTTGATGAAAAGAAAAATCTCACTGGAAAGGGGTTACTAAGTGGCCCTGATTTCTTTCTGCCTGTTGCTGGTAGTGGCAAGCAGTGCTGCAGGGACTGGAAAAGATGGTATTAAAATTTTTGTATGCAGCACATACACAAAGAATGTGGCTGTCCCTAAAGAGGATAAGAGCTTGGTAGTTGCAGTTACAAATAATTTATTCAGGTTTAGCTAATGCTGCAGAATCTGGTGGTCTGTTGTGCTGCTGGCCTGTAGTAGGCTTGCAGTATGCAAGGTGTGGCATAGAAGAAATGCACAGCTTTCTGATTGCTCCCTGAGTGTGCCATGAATACATTCTGTTAGTGGTGCTATAGTAGATACAACCTAAGGATATAAACAATTGGAATGCAGATACTCTTTTATCTAAGCTGTGCTAGTCTTAATGTCTTAAATTCATCCTACCCATTAGGAAGAATGAACTCATAAAAGTTCCAGTTTAAAGTCACTCTTTAGTATTTCTTAAAACATTACTAACAAGCTGTGCTGGCGTTCTGGAACCAGCTGGTTTTGCTTCTGTTTTCTGAGTTCAGAGATATGCCTGGTATTTATGTTGTGTTTGTGTGACAGTTTGAGGCTGACAGCACCAGTGGAAGGGTAGGTCAGAGTAAACCTGTGGCTGCATGGGTGGCACTTCCACACCTGCACAGAAGTGTCTGAGGCAGTAAATGCTGTTGGATGGGCAGTGAATCCCAGCTGTGCTTCTCTTGTGCCGAGTTCCGTGCAGCTTTCCGTCTCTGAAAGTCGCAGGAAATGGGACGCTTGGCTTGTGGGATTTGTTGGGGTAACTTGGCCCAGCTGGCTCCTCTGGCCAGCCAAAGAAGCTGCAGACAGACCCAGTTTTGCTGTGTGCCATGGTGTAGGTAGCAAGTAGGCAAGACTGGCCACGGAGGAGGAAGACACACCCTGACAGATCTGATGCAAGGCCTATTCCATTCCCTGGAATAATTTTTATGAAATGTGGATTAGGTGCTAAATCCTGGAGTAGCATTTAGAGGTTTCTTATCTAGAAACACCAAATCTCCTGAGAGGCACAAAACACACCACTGCAGTTCATTTTGCTTAGCCAAAGCAAACCTACTGGCTTAAAGTATCAAAATAATAGGCATGTTACAATTTTTGGTAATTTATAATTATTCTGGCTCAGACTTGTGACTACCTAAACTAATCTGAGGGGTGAATCAGGCACTGTCTTATTTTTGGGTGTAGTAACTTGACAATGTCCTTTAATACTCCTGATGTTAATGGACAAATTACAAGTCTTCTTTTGTTTGACTTTATCACTGCATTTTGTTTCAACCTGTTATATCACCTGCTTTTCTGTAGGAGACTTTTTGGGTGCACATCCCTTTTCCTGGGCACAGAGATAGTGGCCTTCTGTGCCCAGTGGTTTTGTTACTGTCACTGGGATTCATCAGCCTGGATGGCAGGTAGATGTCATCCTACCCTGTCACCAACCACTGGCTGGCTGAGGTGGGAAGGCTTGGGAGGGTTGAGTGGAAAAAAAGGATTTGTTCTGTATTAGTGTGACAGCAGAGGTACACTGACCAGCTTCCAAAATGCTAAAGAGTAGTACCAGGTGACTTAATGTCGGAGCTGGTGACAAATTGTTTCACTGCAGTATCCTTTCCACAGGGCTGTCCTTCAAGCTCTGTCCACTTCAGCTGAAGTTGGGCTAAGTGGGAGAGCTAAAGTTTTTTTCCCCTGCAGACAATTGGTTGGGTTAAATGTTTTGTTTATCTTTATTCTTGGAGACAGTTTGTGTGGGTTTTTTTGTAGACTGGAGGAAAAAAGAAAAAAAAAAGCATTAAGTGTTTGTGTTATTTTTTCTGGTTTAAGGAAATAATCTTTCCATAATAAGCTTGAAACTACTTTGACGACTGAAAACAGTGCTATAATACATGACCTTAAAATTTCTTCAAATAAGAAATATCTG